CGAATCTGAATCACTTGAAAAAAAGAAGGGGGTGCTTAACTTTTTTCCAGGTGTATATTTGAATGAACTGTAGAGCTCCACCAGATAAGTCTGATTAATAACTGGAAACTCGATCAATATATCAATTACAGATTAATGCCTTTTAGTTAACTGATTCGGTATTAAACAGAGTAATAAGACTGGAAACAAGTGTAAAACAAAATGAAAAATCTTTGTTAGATATGAAACAGAAACACAGTATCTCTACTTCCAATTTACTTACATCAGACAATCATTTCTAGTGTATATTCTCAAATTAAGACCATCTATAAGACTGATAAGTCCAAAATTTCTCAGATTAAAAAAAACTCATATTTACCCAGCGTGACATGAGCTAATACGCGACTGAACATTTTCATTACACATAAGTGAGGCTGTAACATCTAAATATCACCTGAATAATTGTTGAGAACATTGCTATTGAAATCCTTACATAAGTTTGTATTTTAAGAAATATTTTCCATTGGCTGTTACTGGTAATACTTTCTTTGAGAATAATAAAGAAACAAAGGTAACTTAAAAACAAGATCAACCAAATGATTTTGTGAAACACATGGTATGTGAAACCTACACATATTCAAAACAAAGACTAAATTCATAATATATGTTATGCTACTACAGGAAGATTGAACTACGGTATATTAATATAATATACTCTCTCAACAATTCAGGTTTAAGTTAAACTTAAGTTCTAAAATTTTTTAATGTTATTCTCAAACTATTCAAAATTGGTTCCTTAGTGGTTTCCTTGACCAGCTTTCTATATTAAGATCAAAACTCGAAGTATGCAGAAATTTTGCAATATTTATCTAGTAACTAAAGGATTAAAAAACTGAAAACATATGGTAAGACTTGGGTACATTCACACACATATTATGTTTAACTGTATAGAAAATTTCCCATAACAAGGGCCATTTGAGACCATAGTTCAGTGACTCAGAACAATGGGTAACTAGGGTGAAAGGAACTTGGCTATTTGCTTGACTGAAGTTCTATTTTCAATTTATATGCATTTAATTGCATGAAAATGTTGAAACATTTTATGTGAACTTGTAGTTCACTTTACAAAATAAAGGGGGTAGAAAATGCCTGGTTTGCCTGCATATTACAATTACACCAAACTATACTCTGAAGTACTGTCAAAGAAGCAAGGATGTAAACATATACTTGAACATAACAATTTAAGATGTTCCGAAGTGAGAAAGTACCAATTCAAACCAAAATGCAAACCTTTTTCCTCCCCACTTTTTGCTGGTTTTAGATATATTATTATTTGAATCTTGTATATAGAAATACAAAATTTGTCATTCCCTTTCATACCTCCAACTGAAAATTTGTAACTCTAAAAACTTGGCTTCATACTCGTGGTAGGATAGTCCATTGTATAGATTTGTGCTACTATCTACTATCAAACAAAAAACAACTTTCCTTGCATATTTGGTATATTTCCAACGAATGGTTATTTGTTGGAAAGTACAAAGCTACAAAAGAAGCTATCTGTACCCTGTCAATCACGGCTATC